AAATCTTCCAGAACATCCATATGCTGGGCTCTTCAGATTTGCCCTCAAATCAGAAGAAAGTTTCGACCTTTGGGAAGCAGATTTTGAAGTGGGCCTTCTACCGGATTGCCACTGGGAAAGGAAAGAAGGGTTTTTTCTAGAACTTTGTGAAGAGGGTTTTTTGGGCATATCATTTTCGTTAGCAATGGATTTATTAGATCTAGGCCTGGAGGAATTAGGAGCTGATTTTGGGGTGGACTTGGTGAGGAGGGGTTTATTTCTGAGTTTGAGATTGGGATCCTTCTGAAGATGGGAACTCGAAGAAGAAGAAGAGGAGCGAGGTCTTGAGTTTGACGTGGAGGAAAGCAGAAACTTGAGGCAACACTTGGGAGCATCAATGGAAACAGAAGTTGAAGAAGACGAACAAATGCTGCTGCTACTGCTGCTAATGGTGGTAGCGGTGCAGCAATTCTTTTTTGCAGGGTTGATTCTTCTGCTGGTGTGACTGTTCAATTCCTGTAATGGGCTTCTGGATTCATGAGTGCTTTGCAGCCTCCCATCTTTCTTCTTCTTCTTCTTCTTGTTCTTATCCTCCTCCTCTGTCAGCTGATGCTGTTGCAATTCCACAGTAGTTTGGTTGTGGAACATGTCGAAAAAAGAAAGCTTTTTTGATACACTATAGAAGTACTATCTGATTGTGCCAATAAAAAAGGTTGGAATTGGGAAATGAATGAATTGGAATGGTTTAAGGGATTTTGTGGGGTGAAGTCCGGTAAAGGGCACAAAGCAAAGCGAAGCGAAGTGAAGTGAAGTGAAGGCATGGGTTTGAAAAATGGAAAGGTGGGACTCTTCTTTATTCTTTGTCTCTTTCTCAACGTTACACTTGACACTCATCAAAGAAGCTGTACCAAGTAACTTCATCACATGCAATGTAGTGACCACAAAAGCCGGCACAGAACTTCTTTAATTGCAGAAAGTCAATTAATTAGACTGTTAATGATGACATTATTGTAAATGGGGGAGATGTAGTATATTTATGTATGGAGCTTTGGCTTTTTTCAATAAAAAAAGAAAAAGAAAAAGGAAACTTTGGTTTAACTCTACAAGAATAGTTCATCAATTTCTGTCCAAAATTAAATACCTATTGCAAGCAATCAGGGAACCAACGTACCATCTTACAAACATGTGGACGTATGAATGCTTTAACCTCACACAGGTCATGCTGCTACGTTTTTCACTAACAAAATTGATTTGCAAATCAACGTCATCCAACATTTTTAATCTATGAATAGATGCAGCTAGAGAGAGGCCTATGATGCATGGGTGCCTGATCTAGCATTTGTATAATGTGATTTCTTTCTGCAGAATATGTTCCAACTTCTTCTGGATTTCACCAGCTTATGAAAATCCTGTTTCATGCTGTCACACTCTTTTTCCAACTCCGAAACACGCTGCCTCATGTCCTCGATGCCCGATCCTCTGCCGTGTGCGCGATACGAACCGTCACTTTTAGGGAGAGCCAGGACTCCATCAGGGTTTTCTGGGTTCTCCAGATTGTCAGAGACAAAGAACCAGCCCGATATTGAGGTTCTCAGGCGAAGCTGTTCAAAGAATAAGACCTGGACGATCACCCTGAGTGGCAGCCTCTCGTTTTGGGCTGCATGGGTGCTGGCTTCCAGTGACAGCTTCTGGCAGTTCATAAGCCTACAGATTTGTTCCCTCTCTGTGTCCGTGAGCCAAGGATGAGCCTAAGAAATTGATTGTTCATTGAAGAAGATCATTCAATTTCAGAGGGGTGGTTGGTGATATAGAAGTAATTAAAAGTTTGTGCAGTTATCCTATTTTATGGATATAAATCTGTGCTAGGATTGTTTACCTTCAGATAAATGTCAATGGCGCGGTAGAGGCCATCAGCAAGCGGCCTAGCATAATCAGGGATTGCAGCAGCCAGGCACTGGAACTTGGGGAATTTTAGATTAACATCTGTGGCAACATCTGCAAGATATGCATCCACAAGATTAGCCACCATTGTGATTGAAGTGAGTGAATCTGTCCCTTCTACTAATTGGCTCTCTTCAACTATACATGGAGAAGTAGCAACCGAAGACTGGTCCATTGACATGAAATGATCGAGAATCCTCTGAAAGCAGTCTATGTCATATAGAGTCTCAACTGAGTATCCCATATTTGGTATAAGCAGATCATCCAAGGTAGCTTGATCCAACTGCAATCCTACCCTCCTCTCCAGATTTTCTCTGCAAGAAGGGCTCGTTTGTAAGACCATAGCAGTACGGAGCAGCCTGATAAGGAACTTCGTCTGTGTAACTCCTTTGTGACTTGGAAGTAACTCCACTATCTCTTCGAGAAGTGCCCTTTGGTCGGCTTCAGAAGGGGTGGACATGGATGATCCTTGTTTGGAATGATTTGCATCGTTGAAGCTAGATTGCCTATTCATCAATGGAATATATTTCTTCGCATAAAAGACCAGGGATCCAGCAACAGTGTTAGGGTTCATGCCTCCTGCCTCAACTGCAAGGATCAATCGTTTATAGAGGGGTAAACTGAGGAAGGACACATCCTCGTACCACCAATTATCCGTTGCAGGTAGTGGCTTAGTTGCTGTGCCTATCCCATTCCACATTTGGTTGGCTTCTGCAGCATCGTTGCTGTTACAGCCTGACACAGGCCAATTGAACAACTTTGGATCAGCACAGGCTTTCAATGCCAGTGAATTTATGCATCTCGACACAACTCGAAGCTCCTCTGCATGAGGCAAAACTTCTTCACAGGTTTCAAGAGCTTTTATTGTGTCAGTCCAATTGGCAAAAACAACATTCAGAAAGGCTTCTGTTTGTTTAATGAGGTTTCCCTCCCCATATTCTTCGGTCATTTGAAGATACTCAGCTGCACATCTAAGACTCGCTACATTCATGGCGGTCAGCTCTATCTTGATGCCATAACAGAATTTTGCTACAAGCTCAAACGATTTAGCTCCCCCAGGTACTTCCCCAAGTTGTACAACACACGCTGATCCATCCTCTTGCTCTAGCTCTCCTATAAGCTTTTCTAGTAGCCCACTTCTTGATAGCAAAGGAAACTGCATTACCCAAGTAGGATTCAGAATTCATGGTAGCATGTGAACATATACATGGTGTCAAAGACTTCACTAATTAATAACTTTTCAGCTCCTCAAAATGAATAAAAACACAAATAAAACTTCAAACTTTTTGCACCTTATGAAGATGAAAGGACATTTCTCCAATTCTAATTGTAACATCACTAGCAAGGCCAGATGAGCAATGCCTGAGAAAAAAAAAATCACAGTAGGATAGATTTCTAAATAGATAGAAAAAAAAAAGGATTAAGTATCTAATCTTTCGTGAGGCAGGTGTAGCCCACCAACCATAAAGAAACCAGTCATACATGAATTCATGCATATAGCTATCAGGGTGCAGTTGGTAACAGTGAAGCCAAAAACCACCAAATTTTCTCAATGCGTGCACAAGACAGGATTTAGTAAGGGTAAACAAGAGTCAGCAACTCTAGCTTTCTCTGCTCCAATACTCTCACACAATAGCCATACAGACCAAAAACAAAAACTCAGCCACATTCACGTATCCAAGAACCCAAAACATAATCCCAAATAGTTAGCAGTCACAGCAAGTGACTAAGCGAAATTGATTTTCAATGCGGAAAATAAGTAAATGAGTACCAAGATTGGCCATCGAGGCGGAATGCTTCAGATTTGGAACCAAGCCTGATGCATGCCATGTATCCCAGTATGGACTCTTGGTACTGTCAATTATTCTGATCAAAGTTCTGGTGATCAAGATTATCTGAGCGAGGAGTGCAATACTGGATGTGGGTTTTTTTTAAAAAAAAATTTTCTTGGTTTTTTTTTTTTTTTTGGCCCAGTAGATACTAAAGTATGATGAATTTGAGAGTGATGAGTGTGTCCGGGTCTCAAGGGGACAACGAAGACGCGGGAAATTTGGTTGCTGGTTTTTGCTGGCTATCCAACTGTCTTCCTTCTCCTTCAATTTCTCACCAGTTTAGATACATTCCATGGCAAATCTTTTTTCAGTCTTATCAGCTCTGTTTTCCTTTCCGGAAAAAATCGTTGAAAACGTCACTCATATTTTATGAAATAACTTTTTCTGTCCCTTATTTTAGAAAACGTAATTTTACGTTTCTTATAAATTCACATGGGTTAAATTTGGTTCCTATCTAGGTTTCCGACTAATTTTTTGTCGGAATCCACCACGTGCCTTGCACGTGATCATGTTTTATGGACAAAATTCTCGAATCACATTTCACATAATCTAATCCATAGTCCCTTAGATTTCACAAAAAATGAATTTTTTCGTCCCTTGCATTTCACAAAATGAATTTTTTCATCTCTCACATTTCACAAAATGAAAATTTTGTGAAATCAAATATTTTTTGAAAATCCATGTACATGTTTATTTGATTTCACCTGAACAGTACGAATAGCATGTAATATATCTCCATTTGATTTCACTTGAACAAGCTAATTGAAAAACTATAATTTAGCAATCAATCAAGAAATTTCGTTTTCTATTTATCTGATGTTTACTCTGCCAGAACATTGCTCAAGTTCAAATTAGCTCTACCATGAAATGAAAATAAAAGACTTGAAGAATTTCTCATGCTAGAGTCCTTGTGCAAGTCTATAATAAGAAATGCCACAAAAATCCACCATTCTTTTATGGTTTGTATCACAAAAATTTAAAAAAAAAAAAAAAAACTATCTTGTGGAAATGAAAGATGGAATTCAAAGAGGAAGCTGGGGTTGTATTTAAAATGTCATAAAAAAAATCAAATACACATTGACACTCAAATTCGTTTTAGACAATATACCTCAAATGTAAATTTCTACTCTTTCTGCAATAATTTTTTTTAAAAAAAATGCACCAACCTGCTGGCCCCTTGGAGATGATTCATGATGAATTTGAATGCTCAAAATTCAGAACAAAATGAAGATAATCCAGCTCCACAGATTTAGAGAACAGCTTTTCAAAGCCATTATAGAGGAGGATGAAGACAACACGTACTACAATGGCAGATGAAGCAGCTATTGCACAATGACTTCTACCTGGATACCTTCTCAATTTAGCACAACCTTTTCAAGTAGCTATTGCATACAAAGAAGTTATATACATTACACATACACACGAAGGTACATTTTGTGGCGAAACCCCATACTATATAGCACAACCCTCCTCTTGGCAAATAAGAATTTGATAAGACCTTGTAGCCTTCTAACTGAGCTGTCATTTTTATTACTATCAAAGACATAAACGAGAAACAAGAGATCCAAAACTTTTCCATTACAGAGCCGCCAGTGCAGTGACCAGAAAAGGGGGAAGATGATGCTCTAGCACAGACAGCAGCTGTCTTCCCTGCCTTGCCTCTTCCAGTTCCACACCTCCAAGCCTTCTTACTGCTTCCACAAGTTGCCCTCTAAGCCTTTGGGATAACAAGGAACCCCCTGCCTTCAAACACTCCCTGTACAACGGCAGGTACGCTATTGCAACCCTCAGGGGACCTGGAAGATCCCTCAAACAGATAGGAGACTCGCCCCATTTTATGATACGCACCAAGTTCATATGGTGTTCTCGTCCTTGCCTTAATCCGCCTAGAAAAGCAGCCTCTGACCAATGCTCCTGAAGAAAAGCCCTTAGCTCAGGAGCAACAGACTCGTCGTTGGAATTAGCAATGGTATCTGCAACAGTATATGTAGCAGTTGGGTCGCCTAGGAAGTCTGAGCGGAGGAGAAATGCAACCCCATCAAGAGACCCCCCACTTCGCTCTGCAGCGGCCTTGAGAATTTCAGTACTCAGGGCTGCAAGGACGTGTTGAGGAACGCGAGGGAGGAGATATGAAGCAACCTCAACCTGATTGCTGGAAGTAGCAGCTGTGAGAGCAAGACAAAGTTCCATGTCTCGGCAACCCCTGTTCACAAACCATTGAACCACTGGTATGCAACCCCTCTCGGCAGCTCTCATCAGAGGACCCAAGAATGCCATCGCATTTCCCTCTTCCACTAGACATTCCATGGTGTCGATTTTCCCATAATGGGAAGCAAACCCCAAAGCCAGGTCAACATCAATATCCAAGCTGTTCCTTTGAGCAATCTAATAAAATCCAAAAGTAGCAACCAAAAATCATGAAAGTCTATGTCAACTCTAAAAGGTGAATACATGAATACGTCTGAATGCTTATCCAAAAAAGGACCTCGACAGCTAGGATTACTATGCAAAAGTGTAAAATAGAAAACAACAGAATTTGATAATCTCAACACTCATAACCAGGTGTTGCAGTTGAACCAGAACTTTGGAACTAGCCAGTGAGAACACCTTAACAGTGAAAACACTAATTCCTGTTGCTCCATGCGGCAATGGCACCCAAAATTGGCAAAGAGCAGTATTGAGAGGGCCATGCTAAGAGAAACTTAACAACGGTACGCATAAGGGACCCGAGGTTTATTAAAGTATAAATACCGGAGATTATCTTTTCTTCTAGCAAGGAAAAAATGAAAAAGCACAATGCAATATCCGCAATCCACAAACGCAATCTTAGTAAAAACATTTTAAATTATACTTCTTCCAACTACTTTCTGGGGACAAGTTGCGTCAGGATAATTTTGCAAGAACAAATGTATTCTAATTCTCTAAAACAATTGAAATATGCAACTAAAGTCCATCTACACATGAAAACTCTTTGAATAAAATTTGCACACATAGGATTTTGCACAAGAAATTCTTAGCACCATCAAACAATTCTATGACTAACCTTGCAGCATCATAGAAAGAAACAAATACGACAAACAAAGCTAAGCTACAGTCGATCTAAATATGATGTACCAGGTTATCTTTAACCAAGATATTAGAGAAAGGTGGTAATGAACAACCTCCAAAATGTCCCGTGGAATAATTTGCTAAAAGTTTTTTGTTCCCCTCTAGTAAAAACTGAAGTTTGTGCTAAACACTTTCATAATCAGGTCAGCATAAATTTCATTTCCCAAATCATGTTAAGTGCAACAAATAAGCAGGAGAGTTCTTCTATTTCTCCAATAGCATCAACCTTGTCATTAAAAGGTGATGATGCTCCAAAGAAGATTTACACACTTTCCATTTATTGCTGTAAAGCAACATAAGAGAATATCACAAAAGAAAGTCACTGCATAGTTGAAAAAATTTAACAATGTTAAAGGAACAAATTAATCAACATAAAATGTGCAATACATTAGTTTCCCGGTGCATGTTTATGTTCATTTAAAAAAAAAAAAAAAGGGCAAAGGAAAACAAACAGGAAGGTATGAGTCAATTGATGGGATCCCAATTATAAACGAGAAGTACCGCAATCGAATTACTTCAGTCAATGTCAAAAGAGAAATAGCACACATCAAAATGCTGAGATAAGCTCCTCCAACTAGAAGAATACTGAAGTAATGACATCTAGTTTTTAACAGCTCTGAAATATTCTACCTGCAATAAAATGCGAACAAGCTCTGTACTTCCGAAACGTGATGCTTCAAGAAAACATTGGTTGACATTGTCTGCACCGCTCTCTACCAACATGCCCAGTAACCCTTGAATTGCAAATGCGGACGGACTTGATGCCCAACCAGGATCAAATGAAGTTGCAAACAGTGTCAGTGGAAAGCAAGCAGCATCAAAAGCTTCTGTGAAGTCCTTTCCGCCAAGGTGCTTCCCCACAAGATCAAGGAAGGTCTTGAACGCAGATAGCTGTATTTGGATCTCAGAAATGGTAAAACCAGCTCTATCCTCATTTCCCTGACAACGAAAGTGGAAACTGATACATTTAAGAGCCCATTCTGTAAACTTCTGAACCTTTGCACTAGCTTCAGCCTTCAAAATCTCATCCCCATTGCATTCCCGCAATCGTTCATGCAACCTGAAGAAGGAAAGTGTAAAGCTGTAATCAGTACTAATGTCTCAACTAAGATGGCTGCACAAATCAGCGTAAAATTACAAGGCCCGGTAAGATCAATATCCTACTGCTATCAAGCTAGCTTCTGCCTCGTATCTGCCTCAACTCAAAATTTAAATCTGGCTTACAAGCTAGGTTATCAACCTTGATCGCAGAATGTCAAAATTTACAGATATCTCTTTAAAAATCACTGTGTGACCAGTGAAGAGAATCCACAAGAAATATACGGTACCAATTATGACCACCAATAGGACAGTGAAGCAGCAACGGAGTTCGACAGCTAAAACCCAGTAGAATAATCTATTAAAAAAAATGTATAGATACTGGCACAATTCAAGTCACGATTACATGAACCTAATTAAATCAGAAGGAAGGCAGAAGTCTTTACCTTTGTGCCATTATGGTTACAGTATCTGCATGGCTCATTTTTTGACTCTGACAGGCTGAAACGCAGGAAGCAAGAAACGAAGTTCTAAGAGCAGCTCGCGTAAAGTCATAAGCGCCATTAGCGATTACCTTCCTCATCACTCCCGTAATACCATGTAACTCTTGCTGCGTGCTGAGAAACCAAACCGAATCGAGAGCAATACATAAGGTGTCGTTGAGAGCCTGTGGATCCGCCAACACGATCAGATTGTCAGCAAGCTCCCAATCCCGGGTACTCACAGCACCCTGAAACAGCCTACCCAGCTCCAGTCTATCCTCCCTACAGAGCTTCTTGTCTTGGCCTCTAAGCCTGTCATTTTTCGCAAGCCCGGAATCAGAATTAGCCAACCTACATCTAAGTTTCTGAGCTCCACAACCACAAGAACAAGAACAAGAACAACATTCTTCCGAGCCCTCTTTAGGCACAAGCAAGGTCTCCTTCAAAATCACAACGTTGGTTCCCTCATCCCCAGCATTATCATCTGGGCATAAAACTACAATCTCATTCTTTGAAGCCTGGTTGGATTCAGCTGCCATTTTCTTCAGATCATCATATCCTCCAGCCGAAAAAGGTGCAGTTTTTATACCATAAATTGCTACTATTAAACCTATAATCTGAACAATCCCAACGGGCCCAGATGCCTAAGAAATCTCATTGTACAGAAGCCCTTCCCCCTGACCTTGTCAGACTAAAAATTGAAGGACGGTAGCCAGAATTTTGTTAGAAGCAATCATAAACTTGAGAGAAACCCAAAACCCCTGTACCCCTGAAATTGAATTAGCAGTTGCCATGAATTTGATCGACCTCTAGGTCCTGAAGAAACCAAATTAGCCATTGAGAATAAGTTCCAACAAACCAGAAATCATATGAAGATGATTACATTACACCCAAAAAATAAATAATTTTTTAACCCAAAAAAAAAAACAGAAAGAAAGAAGACTCAGAAATGGGAGCAGAAGGATTGCTGATGAATATACTGGGAGCAGGAAAGAAAAGAAATAACAGAAGAAAACAGAGAGAAAAAGAAGTTAATCCATTGCTAAATCAATGGAGAGCGGAAATAAAGGAGGCGAAGGAGAAGGGGTTGACTCCGTACCTCAATAGCACTGTACCAGTGGTTGTTGCGTAGCTTAGAGATTCCATTTTATGGCTCTCATCACTCCTCAGCAGTCTGCAGTCAGCACCACTACTGAAACTGAAAAGGTTTACCAAAATTAATGATATGTTTACGTCATCACCCCCTCTCCCTCCCTCGTCCACCCAAAACTAAGAAGACTATTTGGACCACAAAAATATCAATTTTAAAAAAAAAAAAAAAAAAACCCAATGCAACCTTCTTGAATCAAGTAACGAGCCCGTTGACTGAATTTTACTGCTTACACTGCTATATTATTGTGTACCAAACTAGTTTGGGTTGTTTGGGAAAAAAAAAAAAAAAAACTAGTTTGGATTGCAAACAAATCAAACTGTTGCTCACCTCGTGACTGAATTTTACTTCAATGTTTTATTATTGATTAAGAAAACATGCATGTTTTATTCATTTTTAAAAATAAAAAAATTATATTTTTATTTATTTGGAACTCAGAATAGGTTCGACCTAGAGGTTTACACTGAAAGCTCGTAAATTCGACTTCAACCCAAATATACCAAAACTCGATTTAATTCGACCTGTTTGCGGCTCTAACACTAATAGCATATTATTTAGGACGCTGTTACTTTTTTTTCTGCTGCCAATCATACTGAATGAGTCGAGCTCAGCCCAATAATACCAAAACTCGATTTAATTCGACTTGTTTGCAGCTTTAACACCAATAGCATTTTGTTAGAACGCTGTTACCTTTTTTTTTTCTGCAGCCAAAATAGGAAACAAAGACCACAAAATAATTCAAGAGTGGAGTTTAAATATGTCACTTATACTAGTATTAAGTTTTATTTGTAACAAGGAATTTGTCCAATGGTAAGCTTTTTAAAAATTAGTTTTTCAAATACTATTAAGATTTTTAAAAAATAGTCTATTTTTTTTAATATTTAAAAAAATCTCAAAAAATATTCTAAAAACTCTTCTACTCTTAAATATCCCAAAATATTTTTAAAAACATTCCAAAATATACTATAAAAATTCTGTTATAGTAAAATTTTTTAAAAAAATACCTCTAAAAAATAGTTTATCTAAACGGAGACGGAGATGGTATTTTAATTTAAATCAGAAATTTAATTTGTTTCAACAACAGTCAGTCATTTTGGGAATGAGTGAATTGAGGGGCGGGAGTGACGTGAACCTCCCAAAGCCATACAATAATGATTCACATCATAGTGGCGAGGTGTGAGCCTCTACAGCTCTGCTCACTCTTTTTTAAGTTACTATAAACGTTATCCAGCTGAGCCTAACAACAGCAGCTATGTACTAAACTAAAACTGTCGGCCGATCATCCACCGGACAGGAGACCAACCCCTTGTTGCCTTGGACTTGGGAAGTTGTGGTTTGTGAAGAAGGTGGGTGCTTGCTCTTCATTAGTCCTTCCAAAATCCAAAGACAAACCAATTGCTGTTGGTAGCTTTTTGGTTGCTTGAGTTGAGGGAGGGACGTTGTATTATACTATTATATATCATGTCCAAGTTATAAGAGGGTATCCAATTCAAGAATCGTCAGCACAGAAGAGTAGAGCTGAGGAAATAATAGTCATAATTAATGATGGGTTTTCTTTCGACCACCAAGCCAATATCATCTATTGATCAATGCTTATGCTGCTACTCTTGTTGTAATGCCTTCTTTTTCTTGCGTCCCCGCATTATTCCCAGTTCTACTCCTCCACCACCGCCACCATATCCCATTTCCATGTTGAATTCTAGTAGTACGAGGACATCCCTTGTTGTTTGCCACAGTTCTAAAGAATCCTCAGCACTCGTGATGTCACATTTGCACAACGCTACTACCAAGTTGAACATTGCAGGAAGGAGGATGAGGAGGAGGAGGAGGAGTTTGTTAGTATTCTGTAATACTAATGGTGGCAACAGCAACGAGGACGAAAATGACGGTGGGCCGGGACGAGAAGCAGAAGAAGAGATAAAAGAAGAAGCAGAAGTTGTTTCCCCAGAAAACAAGGCCATCATCAATGCTTGCCTTGTTGGTCTCTTCACTGGCATTGGCGTTGTCCTCTTCAATATTGCGGTATTATGTCATCTCTCTTATAAACTACTTGCTACCTTCACAATTAATCAATATATATTCTTCTTCACCTACTTCACTCATCTGATTCAAGTACAATTAACACAATCCTTCTTCTAGAGGCTAGGCCTCCCAAAAATAGCTGTCTCTCGTTTTCTTATGATGATTAATTAAGCACCCGAAACTATGATCCACATCCCATTCAAGTCTTCCAATCTTGATATTACATTCAGAATGCCCAAATCCCACCAAATCAAAGTCAGGACATCATGCCAATTAACACTGTCTACTTACACAGATTCAGAATTACGATCTACAAGTCTGACAACTTTTTTGTGTACTAGTAATAATATTTATCAACAGTATACAACTTGGTGTCTTGGTTGGACTTGATGGTCTTCCACATGGCCTCTGAATCAAGAAGACATCGAGAGCCAAAACCACTCGACAGCCTTGTCTTGTTCAAGCAATACGCAATAAGCCAAATAATCTGGATTAATACTAGTGGAAGAAGTTATATATTGTGTGTATGACATCCCAATTCCCCTGTCGCTCATTTGCCTGAAGAAAAAATTTCTGAGCTGTAGAAGAAAAGTTTACAGGCTTTGAGGTTCTGGATACAAGTAGGAAAAGGAACTTCTACAAAAATCTGTGTCCTAGTATACTTTTTTTTTTTTTGGCATTTTTCAGTGTATAATGGCTGGAAAATCTCTTGACGGTTGCACATTTCTTTTCCCTTCTAACACGCAGATGTAATTTGTGTGCTCATCATTTGCTTCTACCTTGCTCAATTTTGTGATCAGGTTTTCTTATTCATTTATGCATTGCTGGTGCTGCATTCATAGTTTCTGTGTTTATAGTCCATCAATAAAATGATGAAATTGAGAGCGATGGTGAAATGTCGATATTGCATAAGCAGTAAACACTTTACAACTAAGAAGCAACATGTATTATAATGTGCGGAAAGCAATTGTTTGGATGTTGAAACAGGCATGAAATGCCGACAATTATTTTGCAATGAGAAGTTCCAAGAAGTTGTCAAGAAAATGTCTCAAGATTGACCCTTTGAAGAAATATGAAGAATATTTATCCCCATAATTGAATCTGAGGACTAAATTGCATAAAAAGGGAGCTGGCACAGTTGTAGCAATGCAATATTGGCGCTAGTGTATTTACACTCATCAGTGAGATAGTTTAGATGCTTCAACATACGCAACCCCATGTACAGAGTGAAGGTGAAGTGGTAAGTAAACATCCAGCCAATATCTAGAACACCAACTTGCCTCCTTGAAAGAAGCCATGTCCAAAATATTTCACATGTAGCCTCCAGAAATGGTTTCATTTCTTTTGATGCTGCAATATCACTAGTTTGATGGCAATTTATGGTCTTATTTTGTTCAAATTTATAAACAGCCAATGTGCAAAGATAGAAGTAATATGATTTTCAAATTTTATTTTCCTGAGAGGATTTGAATATTGCAATTTCATTTGCACAGCCTCTTATCCAAGCCTCTAAAGAATAGTTCAACAGTGATTTTCAGGTTCTTGGAATCCATCTCCTTAATGTTCTCCATTTTGATTTTATGTAGAACTGACTCTTCAATAAAGTTCACTGTTCTTCTGTTGCTTTAGCAAGTTAGGCCTTGCGAAACATAAACTGTTTGTACCATTTGCATGGTTAATAATTATAAGGTATCATGCATCCCCTGAAAACTCCATCTCATACCTCTAGTTATTTAACTTGGCATAATCAAGCTATAAAATTCTATTTGAATTGGGATCGACTGTTTTTGAAGGAAACCGGTTTCATGGCCTGCTTTAGTTTCTTGCTCAGCAGATTTACCTTTTCGTTTAGGTGGATGAAATCCGACATGTTTTCTGGGATGGAATTCCTGATCGAGGTGCCTCATGGCTAAGAGAGGAGCCAATTGGAGTAAAATGGGGACATGTTATTTTAATACCTGCTTGTGGGGGTTTGTTGGTTAGCATGTTAAAGCTGTTCCAAACTGCTATAGAGGAGCCCAAGAATTGGAATTTGTCATCTAATGTAAAAGCAACACTAGACCCAATTTTTAAGGCAGTGGCTGCTTGTATCACCTTGGGCACTGGGAACTCATTGGGACCAGAAGGTCCTAGTGTTGAGATAGGTGCATCTATTGCCAAGGGAGTGGGTACCTTGTTCGACAACAGTTCTCTGGGAAAGCTATCCCTCAAGGCTGCAGGGTCTGCTGCTGGAATTGCCTCTGGTTGGTTTTCCTCCATTTTTCTGGCTTTCTGCTTGACAGTGTCATATGGTTGATTTTCTGTACAAGTAAACTTCAGTTTATCAGCATATTAGACACTTCTTCTAGACAGAGAGTTAAATGCATTTTTGTGGTGAATTTGGAATTTCTTGTTCAATAACTATGTGATCTGTCTTCTGCATACCACAGGTATAACCTTATACATGAACTTTGGACTATTAGATTCAAATGAAAGTATAATTCTCCTATTTATCTCAGTGACCAGCATTTCTTTTTTAACAAACAGTGGATTGGTGTTAATATCAATTTCTGTTTGTGCTCTGGCCAGCACTTCTTTTCTGAGCAACAGTGGTTTGTGTTTAATGTCACTAATTCATGTTGTCATGCTTGCACTAGTGTAAAAGATTGCAGTTGCAAAAACTTTGAAAAAACTCAGCTATGGCTGGTTAAGTCCTAGAGAAAGGAAACCAAATCCAAACGGAAGGAAATTTTAAGGCCTATGATGTTCATAGTTTTATGCTCCTATTGGCTTTATATCAACTAAAATCACACATGTTTTTCCCTTCAGAACTGGAGAAGTCATTCGGCAATCATATTTGTACTATGTAATTGTTGTCTTTACCTGAGACATGATTATAAAATCACTTCTGTTTCTTTCAAAAATTTGTTTCTTTTGTCCTTCTGTTATTTACTTGCATGTTATGCTTGATCATCATTAACATGCCAATGGTTATGTAGAGCCAGCAACAATTTCCATACCTAGCTCATTCTTGGAGACAAAATCAGTGGCAATCAGCGTTATACTATTTTCTTGTCTATTGAACCATCATCTCATCAACATCCTTCCCATCCTTAAGATTCTTACC